AAAAGATATGGGCCGAAAATAGCTATTCCTACCTCATTTAGCGTGAAATACTGCAAACACTATGCCAACGAGAGAATGGGAGGAACATTTCTACAGGGAAATCCACACGGAAGAGGAACAGGAATGAACAGGGGAAACAAATTCGGAAATTTGGAGTCTCCAATTGGAGACTTTGGCTGATGTTTGGTGTCCCAATTGGAGACTCTGCCTGAAGCCTGAGAGACAGATGACAACATAAAGGAGCGCAGTGGAACCTGTACTTTCAGTGTGTTACACTTGACTCAAATGTTCTCTTACTTGCATAGATGATATGGAACTATTTGGTCACTAATATTCCAACATTTAATCATATACATGTATTCACTGAAGCCGAATCTACGGGTGAGGCACTGTAAACTGTACTTGTGTATTAAATGCTCCGTAACCGGTGTTACAAGAAAACTAGCTTCCCTAGTAACCGAAAGAGCACTCTGTTTTCCATTAGCTTTGGGGAAAACGACGATCTAGGGAATACAGAGTAAGGAGAGTTTTCAACATCTTGGTCAACAGTCAATGTAGGTCTGATAGGAAACTTTGTGCCAATTTGCCAAAGTATTAAAAATAGGAACTACACAGTTACATGTGAATTTATCAGGCAGTTTCGAATTTAAGATCTACTGACTACAGCCAAATTTATGAAACTTAATGCAATGACATATAAAGTCCAGTTAAGCTGTATTTTAATACCTAAGGTAAGTGACAGTGAAGCAGTATTTGGATACAGCTTGAAATTGGTGACCTACTGCTGTCAAATGTAGTGTGTTTAATTAGATAGTTAAACTGTATTTTAATACCTAAGGTAAGTGACAGTCAAGCAGTATTTGGATACAGCTTGAAATTGGTGACCTACTTCTGTCAAATGTAGTGTGTTTAATTGGATAGTCAAGTTTGAAAGTTGTGGTGCACACATAAGACTTGGAATGCAACTACTTAGGGTGTATTAAAAGCTTAAAAGTTTTTGGTGAATCTGTTAGTACTATGAAGAAATGCTGCTCGTTTACTTCCTACTCTCTGTCACTGAATATCAATGTAATATTATTTGGAGAAGCAGGAATGAATGTCACTTTATATAGCTATTGCTACAATCATATTCTCCTGAAGTTCCCAGTATACTGTCAGATGATTCCAATAGTAAGGATAGTGCTGATTCTCAATCAGAATCCTCATCAGTATCCTCACACAACACCACAGTTGAGTTCTGGGCAGGCTCAACTGGTTGGCTTGCCTGTTGAGATGCTCCAAAGAACATAGACTTGAACTAAAAAGAAGGAAAGGCAAGAAAACAACAAAAAATGGATTGAAACATTCATGCAAATCCAAGGCTCCTAAAATGTCAGCTGTATCCACAAGACAATATTTTCTTTTCTGAAATGCATTCCAATTTGACTAGATATATTCATGGTGTATTTGTTGTTTTATCCAGGTGAAATGTACAGGGTGTATTGAAAATAAGCAAAGCAAAAATACTAAATAAAAAAATAAATAAAAAGTAAAAGGAGACCGGGATTTCAATGTGAATTGCTCAGTACATGTAACTAATGCACATTTACCAACCTTGGTAAAAGTTTTAAAGGTTGAAAGGAATGGATAGCATGTTGAAGGACACAGGTGCTTGGTTTGGACAGTTCATTTGGCTACAAAAAGTTTATTCAAAAGTGAGAATGTAATCAGAGATTGAAAACAAAGATGTTTAAACTAATCCAATTTGAATAAGCCTGGAAGCATGGAACAGAGACCACAACTTATTTTGAACAAAGCCAATTTTTCACACCACCTATCTGAACTCTCTGACATCTGACATGCACAACCCAAACACCATCTTGCTAGTATATGAATCAAATACCAAAACACTTAATCAGGTACCAGAAAAGGTGTTTTCAAGATGTATTTTTGCGTTGGGGAGATGTTAATCATACCCGCTGCTTCATTTGACTCGGACCGGCCAGCCGATCCCGGCAAGCTCGGGGGTGAGTGGTTAAGACATCTGCACTAGTAAGCAGGAGGTCGTGGGTTCGAGTCCCACCCGAGTAAGCTTGTGAGGTTTTTTCGCAAGCTCTCGAACAAGCAC